ACTCATTACACACACCATCCCGAACTCTGCTTTCACATGATCATATCGACCCCAAGCAATTTTTAATATCAGACAAAAAAAAAGATAAACAGCCTTCAAATAATAATTTCACTTGTTACATTCTCGTTTCTCTTTGCGATTCAGTGATTTTATTTCAGCTACACTTGAGGGTTTTTAAGCATAATTTTACCACATTTGAATTTAAGTGCATGCTTTGACTAGGACACACAAAAACCTTAATTTTGATGACAGAATTTATTGTTCCATCATTTACATCAAGTGGTCCAGTTTCTAAGGAAGCAAAGCAGCCCCTCACCATCACACTGCCACTGCCATGCTTAGCCATCAGTGTGATTTATTTATTTTTTTGTAAGTGTGCCAATTTTCCACCTCTTATTAATCCTCAGAATATTTCCCCCACAATTTCAGGTATCTTTTTTTTTCTTTTGTTAAATGTGTCACAGCAATGAAACAATTTGTCTGTTCTACAAGTCAGGCAGTAATTAGGTCTGGATGTGGCTAATTAAATTTACTCAAATGTGATTAATCACAGGTCACTTTATGCAAGCTAAGCAGAGTTATTGTATTTTCACATTGTGCTGGGTATGTTTGAATATTTATTTCCCCTAAATGATTGAAAATATTATCTGAAAACAGAAATGTGTGACAAAAGAAATCTCAGGGGAAATAATTTATCATGCCACCATATCTTCAAAGAAAGTGTGTTTGTTTTAGGTAAGTTCATCTTTTCCACGATTTAAATGAAAACTCTCAGATTCGCTTAAAGTTTAGATCGTAGCGATCTCAGCTTTGCTCCGCAGAAATAAATGCCGTCAGCTTCATTGTCAAGAAGACAGTTGATATTGTTCATCGCTTTGGCTTCGCAAAGTGAACACAACCAAACTTCCTGCTGTTGTCACCAGAACATCGTCATCATTCTGTGACAGATTCAGATTCAGATTCCTCTGGAGCAAAGATGACCCTCGAGTTTCTCCTCTTCAGCAGCGATCAGACGCTACTCGGCGAAGGTCGGCGCTCCGTGGAGCCAGCATGCAGCAGAAACCAGAAGCTTTCGTACACCCAATGAAAAGACTTGCACACACCTCACGTTAAATCAGGCCAAACTTCTCCTGTTTTAGGCCAGTTAGAATTACTACAGTTATTTCCATTTGCTAAATGCCGCAGTATTGAGAGGAAGAATATGTCCGAAATTTGTTTATGAATGTCTTCAAAATTGGTTTTTGATAGCATTGCCTTTTGTATGACTTGAGTCAAACCTTTTGGTTTTCAATTCACAAATCTGTGATTGAAATGATTTGCTAATTTAACAAAACCATTCGCATCAATATCATTACAAAAACCAACTAGAACATGATTTGACCATTTTCTTTCGAAGCTCTTTGAGATATCAGGCGTTGAAATAAACATTTGAAAATTTCAGAACAAATACATCTTAAACGTGACGATATGGATCAATATTTACATTTTGCATCTGTGTAATTGGATCGTTAATCATTTAATTGATATCCACTGATGAGTTGTTGCACCGCTGGTAGAAAGGCGTCCCCACTGCATCATGCTGCCATCACTGTGCTTCACTATGTGGTTGATGTTCAGGATGAGCAGGGTTATCAGAGTAAATACCATGAATAGAAGTGCACACCACACTTTTCAGATATTTTTTGTTTGTAAAAATTGAAATCGATGTGTTAATATTGTTATCCATTCCACCTCCTTTCGCAGATAAGCGACACGTTTTATTGGTCTTTCACAAAAACACAAATGAAATTCAGTGAAGTTTGAGGTTGAAATGTGATCAAATGTAAAAACAAAACAACAACAAAAAAAACGTTCAGCCGGTATGAATAGTTTTGCAAAGCACTGTAAAGATTTATTTATTTTTTTTATCTTTCCATCTACAGACCGGACTCACGGAGGAGCAGCTCCAGTCTTTGGACAGCGTGTTTGAGGGAACGTACAAAGCCAAGTATCCCATCGTGGGTTACACCGCAGCACGACTCCTCAACGCGGACGGAAGCCCCAAAAAAGACTTCAAACCAGAAGCCCAGCCTCATTTTCAAACCAGAGATGAATTTTAATGCCATCTTGGGTTTTTGTTTTTTCTACTCTGATCAAACAGTGTTCTGATCTAACACTATCAGAACACTATTTGTAGTGTAAGATTTGTTCCCATTATTCTTATTTGAACGCTCAGTGTTCCCTGTGGGTTCATTGTCTTCTCTGTTTTGACAAATTGCTTGAGTCGTCTATTTTTACCCTGGTTGTTGCCTTAAAGAGAGATTTTATTAGTCCTGCAGAAAACTACTAATATTCATAGAAAATGTTCATTTCAAAAATGTGAAATAATCAGACTACTTCCTGACTCTGTCTGTGTGCTACATCCGTTTCTGTTTGTATTTGAATCACAATTTTAAAAAAACAAACAAAAAAACAATACCACCAAAGTCAGTTATTTAATCACTGTTTTTATGAAAAGTTAAACTTTTGGCTAGTTTCCTAAAACTGCTTTTAACGGGTAAGGATGACTTGTTTTGCATCCACACAGTATTATTTTATAGCGCAATCAAGTAAATATGACACCTTCAGTTGTTCTAAAAATGCTATATATATCAAATATGACTTAAAAGAAATTTGACATTGCAATTTAACACCTTGAAATTGGGCCTCTGTCTCTTTAAAATCTCTGTTCATTCTGAAACTTCGCCTTCAGGAAGTCATCACAACATGGCTCCTCGATTAATATCAACAACATTTTTCATTGAGAAGCAGCTCATATAATGAGTACGGCATTATACGATATGCTAATTGCTGCTGGCTAGTCTGAAGGAACTGAGTCGGGGAGTCACGGGGGAGAGCTGCTCTGTGAAGAGGAAGGTTAGAAAGGAGGAGCTACACCTCAAAGGCGGAGCTAGGTCCAACCGGGCGTTTTGCTCAGCTGAATGGTTGCCATGGTGACTAAAGGATTACAGGTATGTTTTTGATGAAAGGATAACTTTATAACATGATGGAAAGTGAAACAAAAAAGTCAGTTTTACATAGTACTGCGCCTTTAAGGTTGGTCCATTGATTTTTAGTATGTTTAAGGTCAGAGCTTTTGAAGAAGCTTAGTGTTAGCTGACTTTATCTATTCAAAGCCAGTTTGGATTGGAGCTTTGAGAGTCTGGAGCACCCAATGGCGCCCAAGTTTTAACCACCTAACTATTAACTTGAGAGACCACTGAATCACTTAAAACCAATCCTCTATCTTTACCATTCAACTCACTTCGTGCAATGCACCAACGCCTCTTACAGTGAAACAGCCTTGCAGCAAAACTCTGGACACTTTATAACTTTCAATAAAAATCGGCCTCTGTTTATCCCCCGTCTGTCCACTGAAGTTCAAGGCTCTCAGATGACTCCATGACAAAGCCTCACATGACAGAAGCTCACAAACTAGTAGGAAAAAGGAACAAAAGCTGAAAACTCCTAAAAATAAATATTCACAACTGGACTGTTTTCGTTGTTGGGCTAGAAGAGTTTTTTAATGTATTCCTTTGTGTGGGGTACATAAGTGCGTTTTTGAGTAGGATTAGCTTGATGTTTGGGTTTTATTGTGACATTAAGATCCCTGCGGAAACCTGGTTTTTAAATGAGAAAAAAATTGCGTTGCGCCTCACACTCTTTTATTCAACTCGATCTGAGAGGTGCAAAAACAGATGACGTACACGTATGACCTTTCTTTTTAAAACACCCATAGTTTTTAACTACTGCCTGTGCTGCTGCAGCTTTTCCCCTGTTTACAGGATCAGAATTTGTCCGTTTCCCAGCAGAGTTTATAGGTCCTACGTCTGAGATGTGGCGGAGTGTAAAAAGCATGTGTACTTTATGTATGTCTCCAATCAAAGGTCACAGCTGCTGAGACGGGGGATTGTCTTTGGGTGGAGCTGTGTGTCCAGGCCCTAACAGCGGAAGTAAATCTATCAGCTCCTCCAGTCACTGTTCACACTCTACCCGTCATGTCAACGGGTTTTTATTGCCTCTGAGACTTTTTTGTTTTTAATCTACCGGAGTTCATCCAAGATGTCCAAAATGGTAGGAACGTAACTCTGCGACGCTTGTTCTTGATGTAAATAATTCAGCCATCTTTGACATTTTCCATGTACTTTTGATGATATTTTTGATGTGTTCATCTGTATTTGTGAATCGATGCGACTTAACAGTCTGTTGAGATCTAATCCATCAAACGGCTCTAGATGTAAAGAATATATGTAGGAGGATTTATATGCTCTTACCTGGACACATTCGCTAAATTAAAATATAGAAATCTTCATTTATTTCCGTAACTCAATTCATTAAACAAATCAGATGGATTAATTGCACTATGACAATTTTTTAAGCCTCTGTCTTTGTTAATAATCAGGGTTTTCTGCCTGTCACAATAAGCAATAAATCAATCGGATGATAAATTAAAACAAGGTCAATAATTTTCATTTTCATGATTTAGCATTTTTCTTCTGTCTCTTTTTCTACAAAAACTGGATGACAAAAGTCTTCAGTCTGGTGCTTTGGACTCATCTAGCCCCGTTTTTTGGAGAACAATTTTGTTCAGAGGCTTCATAATTCATTTTATTTGTTGTTTTGTTCATTTATTTTGGATATTTAAAATGTCTTCCGGTTCCAGTGTTAAATGTTCATCAGAATTTTAAATTTATTCATCTTTGAGAATGTGTTCTTGGATTAATTTTGCTGTTACCATTACATTTCTCAAATACACTCTCAAAACAACAATATTATCGTTTGTCGCGATAACTTCTGGGACAATTTATTGTCGTGACAGGCTACGATTAGAACATTACATAAAACCAAAAGAAAAACAAACACTTATTATTACAGAAATAATGATTTTCTGAAAAGCATGTTTAATACCTGCTTAAATACCTTTAAACAGACAAATGTGGCTCATTGGAAAAAAATATTCTAATTTATTAAATATTGCCATACACTAAGAGTTTTACTCTATTTAAAATTAAAAATTAACTTGGGTATAAAGGACCTTGGAATTTATTGTTCATAAAATTTTATTGTTTTTTTTATTGCTGCAGAAAACGGTTTACGTCACCAGGATGGATGGAGTGCAGGAGTTCTTCATCCAACCCACAACTAAAGGGAAGGAGCTCCTAGAAATGGTTTGTATGTTTTGTGGTGAATTAAATGTGTTTCATAAATCCCACTCCTTTGTTAAACGTACAGTTGTGGTCAAAAGTGTACATACACTTGTAAAAAATCATAATGTTATGGCTGTCTTGAGTCTTCAATAAGTTC